AGGTTCCCATCAGAGCGCCCCTTTACATCACATGTCCCCATCAGAATCTCCCCATATATCAGAGTCCATCTTAGGATCCCCCCTCCCCATCTGAACCCACCTTACATCCTGGTCCCTGTCCGAGGCCCCCTTACTTCCAGGTTCCCATCAGAGTGCCCCTTACATTAGGTGTCCCCATCAGAGTGCCCCCTTACATCAGGTGTCCCCATCAGAGTGCCCCCCTTACATCAGGTTCCCCATCAGAGTGCCCCCTTTACATCAGGTTCCCCATCAGAGTGCCCCCTTACATCAGGCATGTCCCCATCAGAGTGCCCCCTTATATCAGGCATTCCCATCAGAGTGCCCCTTATATCAGGCATTCCCATCAGAGTGCCCCTTACATCAGGCATTCCCATCAGAGTGCCCCCTTACATCAGGTGTCCCCATCAGAGTGCCCCCCTTACATGAGATGTCCCCATCAGAGTGCCCCCCTTACATCAGGTGTCCCCATCAGAGTGCCCCCTTACATCAGGTGTCCCCATCAGAGTGCCCCCTTACATCAGGTGTCCCCATCAGAGTGCCCCCCTTACATCAGATGTCCCCACTATAATGTCCTTACATCAGGTGTCCCCATCAGAGTGCCCCCTTAAATCAGGGTCACCCATCCCCAGAGTCCCCCTTAGATCTGGCCCTGGTGGCACTGCCCCCTACATCAGAACATTCCCCAGCTCACAGTGCCCCCTTACACAATTATCCCCATACAGAGGTACCCCCTTACATCAGTTTCCCCATCAGAGTGCCCCCTTTTATTCATCTGCAGATCAAAGGGATGAACCCGTCTGCTGATGAAGTCCCTATCAAGCGACCCGACAAGTACATCAGTTGTTTTTATTCAAGTCCCCCTGTTATCAGATGTTAACCCTTCGTTTCCTCTAGAGTCCCCCCTTAATCAATGTCCCCATCAGAGTGCCCCCTTTCATCAGATGTCCCCTCAGATTTTTCCCTTACATCAGTTTGTCCCCTCATCCCCTAACTTAATATCAGCTCTCTGCATCATACTGGCTTATGGATCACTGGATAAGGAGCTTTGTAAATGTAAATGTTTGTAAACAGAGACTTGGCGGGTTACATTTAAAATCTCGGGGAACAAAAACTCATCCCAGCACCCCCCTAGATCCGGCCCTGGAGGCAGAAGGAGACACAGAACATTCTGGGCTGAAGGGGTCAAAAAATAATAAGCCTGCCACTAATTATCACCAATACAGTTTTTTGTAAAAAAAAACTAAAAACATTGCTTCATTTTGTATCTTTCTGTTTATTCATTGCAGATCAAAGGGATGAACTTCCGTCTGCAGATGAATCGGTTTTACTTCAAAGAAAGATACAAAAGTAAAAATAGGTAACATTGTATCTTTTTATTTCAATCTGGTGCTGTGTTGTTTATAGGCACAGAGTTAGACCGGCTTCGTTTCCTCTAATCAGCCTTCTCTGAGTAACAGGGTATTCTGCCGACCTCCATTCACTGATTATTTACGTCAGATTTTTAGTGGCTTTCAGGGACCATCGCGACGCATGGGTCTAAACGTGCGTAGGTATTTCAAGTTTCACATTTAGGCGCAAAGTTGGAATAAACCCGGCGCACCCTTTCCTTCATCTGGGCAATCACTTTAGCGATGCCTGTCAGGTGCATCATTTGGGTCATTAAACCACAGAACAGAACTTGTTGCCGAATGGTCACTTTGCGTATCCTGTTTGTTGTGTAAACGTGAGTACCCTGATCAAACATTGGCAGACCTTTTGTTACGTTTCCTGTCCTCAAGGGCTTCCTGAAAACAATAGCTCCTGGATGTTCCCTTATAGATAATTCCTGGTGATTGGGGTCACTAAGGGTTACTAAGGGATAAATCCAGGCCTACAGTTTTTGTAAAAAAAAAAGTTACCGACACGTCCTGTTTGCTTTTATCTTGACCATCCTTTGCAGATCCCCGTTCTCCCTTGATCATCAGATCTTAACCCACAGAAGATACAGACTCCTAACAACTGGTAGAGATTGTATCTTTGACCTGGTCTCAGCCTGGTGCTGCTCCAAGTTTATAAGCACAGAGTCAGACCGGCCCTGGTGCACGCCTTCTCTGGTAGTATACAGGGGTACCTGCACCTGGGGACCTGCCAGGGGACTGATACTGTCAGGTGGTCCGTTACAGTGGCGTTCCGGGGTCTATGGCTGCAGCTGGATGCCACATTCCCGGAATTAGAATTTTCAGCAGCCGCTGCTCTTTCTCATAAAAGTGATCCGAGCAGCTGAATAGCCGCTGGATCACTAACAGAAGTGGCGGGAGGGGTCGCCCCCTTTCCTTCTACCGCTTTCCGGTGGTTGTCGAGATTACCTGACTCATCGGTGTTGGTCATAGAGATGATCAAAGGAAAGATGGCCTCCACTCATGTCTATGACCCAGGAGGACCAGAGCGACGTCATGACGTCACTTCCATTTTCAGGCCGGTGTAAACAATGCCTTTTATTTATTTTTTTATTTTATTCTGGAAAGCACTAGACCAACTTTTTTTTTAGATCTGATGCTTTCCAGCGTAGAGGTGAGATATGGGGTCTTATACAGGGGACTGGATGTGCTACACATGTCCTGTGTACAGTATACTGGTAGAGGGGTCCCAGCAGCAGGACAGAGAGACTGGATGTGCTACACGTGTCCTGTGTACAGTATACTGGGAGAGAGGTCCCAGAGGCAGGACAGAGAGACTGGATGTGCTACACATGTCCTGTGTGCAGTATACTGGTAGAGGGGTCCCAGCAAAAGGACAGAGAGACTGGATGTGCTACACATGTCCTGTGTACAGTATACTGGGAGAGGGGTCCCTGCGGCAGGACAGAGAGACTGGATGTGCTACACATGTCCTGTGTACAGTATACTGGGAGAGAGGTCCCAACGGCAGGACAGAGAGACTGGATGTGCTACACATGTCTTGTGTACAATGATGACATTTCCTGGGGCCTGTGTTTTTAGCACGCCCAAAGTCTGCAATTCTGACTTTTTTGTGGCTAGGAGAGAATAACGTGACTCCGGGTGCATTGCCATACATGCGCAGAGTGCGCCGCGCCCCCGCCAGTTCCTGGAACATCTGCGCACATGCTCATAGACACTGCGAGTATGGAGGTCCCGAACCTCAGGATGTTGTGAATGTGTAGATGTCGCACGTCTCTGCCGGGTTCTATGGCACATCTGCACACGTACATCAGATTTGTAGACACAGTAACTCGACTTTTGTTCAGAATAAGCCCCCCTCCCCCCTCTGGGTGGTCTCTGTACATTGCAGGGATGGCAACAAACTTTGTAGCAGATTCCTCTCTTTGTTATTCTGAAGAAATCTCTGTTTGTTTCTCTGTGTCCATGTGCAAACTCAGTGACTGTGAATGGGAGGGACTTTACAATGATCGCTCAGCTGCTGCACCTGGGCAGGGCACCATGAGGAAAGTGGCAGGCCCCTGTACTCTGCCCCCCTCCCCCACTGTACATACATGTCATAGAATGGGGGTACCACTCTGCGTCCATCTGCCACCTGACACTATTTTTTCCCATGAAAGTGGGAGTTACCCTTTAAAAATGGCGGTATCAACATGTTTTCTGAACGGAGAGATTTCCTCTGCGTCCATTCCTGCCCCCCCCCCCACACATACATGAAGTGAGAGGCAGAGTGTCACTGAGCCCCCCCCATGAACATGGGTGCATGTTCCTTGCAGAGACCCTGTCTGCGGCCCCCTCCCCCCCCCACCATCGTCCTGGAAGATTTCTCAGCGGATTTGATTTGTGTTTTTACCTGTAAAATCCTCCCCCTGCGGAGACACAGAAAAGCTCTCAGACAGCCGCTGGGTGGCGCCATCCATTGTCACATTGTGGTGTATTGCCATGAATGTGCGCCTACAGTGCGCCACGCCCCCAGCCATTGTTCCTGGGTTGTCCAGCTCACACAGAGGTCCACTTTACTGCACCATCTCCCCCAGTGTACATACATGCCGATGGAGAAGGGGGTGAGGGACTCTGGGGTTCATTCTGAATACCCAAGGGGGATTCTGATGGGGACCCTCCAGATGTAACTGTACATACATGGGGGGGAGAATGGGGGTACTCTCTGCGTCCATTCTCTGACCCCCTCCCCCACTGTACATACATGTCGTAGAATGGGGGTACCACTCTGCGTCCATTCTCTGACCCCCTCCCCCACTGTACATACATGTCGTAGAATGGGGGTACCACTCTGCGTCCATTCTCTGACCCCCTCCCCCACTGTACATACATGTCGTAGAATGGGGGTACCACTCTGCGTCCATTCTCTGACCCCCTCCCCCACTGTACATACATGTCGTAGAATGGGGGTACCAATGTCTGCGTCCATTCTCTGGGGACCCCCTCCCCCACTGTACATACATGGGGACCCTAGAATGGGGGTAACTCTGCGTCCATTCTCTGCCCCCCCCCCCTGACAATGTATAGGGGGGACTGATGGGGACCTATGTACGTGTAGAATGGGGGACTGTACATACATGGGATAGAATGGGGGTACCTGATGGGCCCAACCTCCATTCTCTGCTCCCCTCCCCCCTTGTACATACATGGGATCATAGAATGGGGGTACCACTCTGCGTCCATTGTCTGCCCCCCTCCCCCACTGGGGACATACATGTCATAGAATGGGGGTACCACTCTGCGTCCATTCTCTGCCCCCCTCCCCCCTGTACATACATGTCATAGAATGGGGGTACCACTCTGCGTCCCTTCTCTGCTTCCCCTCCCCCGCTGTACATACATGTGATAGAATCTCCTGACCGGGGATATAGCCCCCCCCCCCCCCCAGTCCTGGGTTGTACAGTAAGTAGTAGGTAGGGGTGTATGAAGGGATCATTCTACTAGACAATGAAATATCACCCTGAGGGGGAGGGGCAGAATTTCTGGATGTCCCCCCCCCCCATCCCCCCCCATCCCCGGGAATATCACACATAGAACTCGGATTACCTGTCCATCATTGGCGATACGGTCGGCCAGGGGTGGCAAGCCAAATGATCTTACACCCACACATCTCTGCGAGAGAGAGAGAAGAGAAGAGAAGAGAGGAGGGAGAGAGGGAAGAGGAGAGAGAGAAGAGGAGAGAGAAGAAGAGTGGGATTAGTACAGTGACCGGCGTGTCAGAAGATGGCGGCAGATGACCCCACAGACAGGAGACATGACGCCTCTATTTATAGAAGATGTACAGCTATTCGTCCAGCAAAGTCTCATGTACATTCGTTCTGGGCGAGTTGGTTGTGAGAATGGGGCAGAATCGGGGGGTTTCTTCTGGTCGTAGTTTTTACCCCCTTACTGCCCCCACAGTATGAATAAATGGGCGGAGTGGTGGACCTCTGTGTCTGGAGTGCCGTGTAGACACATGACCTCAGAGACAGCCCTCTGGGGGCCAGTTCACCCGTTCATGTGTGTGTGAATGGAGCCATCCTCGGACACTGTGTACAGAGCCCATCCGACAGGCACTGTACCTGACCCTGCCAGCTTCTGCTGCTCCCTTCACCAGCATTGACAGGAAGGAAGCTGCCATATACAGTACAGTGATGGCGGAACACATGACAGCCGGGTCCCGCCAAAGTGGGAAAAGATTGGGCGTTCAGATGAAGGCCTGGACAAGCAATGTTCTGTGTGAACCTGTGTTCCCACCAAGGACTCATCCCTACCAACCATCATCACCAGTCCATGGGATCATCATCACCATCATCCATGTCCATGGGATCATCATCATCACCAGTCCATGGGATCATCATCATCATCACCAATCCATGGGATCATCATCATCACCAGTCTATGGGATCATCATCATCATCCCAGTCCATGGGATCATCATCATCACCATCATCACCATCACCAGTCTATGGGATCATCATCATCATCATCACCAGTCCATGGGATCATCATCATCACCAGTCCATGGGATCACCATCACCAGTCCATGGGATCACCATCATCACCAGTCCATGGGATCATCATCAGTTCATGAGATTATCATCATCATCACCAGTCCATGGGGTCATCATCATCATCATCATCATCACACCAATCCATGGGATCATCATCATCATCAGTTCATCATCATCGCCATCCAATCCATGGGATCATCATCATCATCATCATCACCAATCCATGGGATCATCATCATCACCCAATCCATGGGATCATCATCATCATCACCAGTCTATGGGATTATCATCCTCATCACCATCCATGGGATCCATCACCAGTCTATGGGATTGATCATCATCACCAATCCATGGGATCATCATCATCACACCAGTCTATGGGATTATCATCCTCATCCTCACCAATCCATGGGATCATCATCATCATCACCACCAGTCCATGGGATCATCATCATCACCAGTCTATGGGATCATCATCATCACCAGTCTATGGGATCATCATCATCATCATCCCAGTCTATGGGATCATCATCATCACCAGTCCATGGGATCATCACCATCTATGGGACATCATCATCACCAGTCCATGGGATCATCACCAGTCTATGGGATCATCATCATCACCAACATTATCATTCATCATTATCATCACCATCATCACCAGTCTATGGGATCATCATCATCATCATCACCAGTCTATGGGATCATCATCATCATCACCAGTCTTTGGGATCATCATCACCACTCCATGAGATCATCATCATCATGATGATGATGATAATCCCATGGACTGGTGATGATGATGATGATGATCCCATAATCCCATGGACTGGTGATGATGATGATAATCCCATGGACTGGTGATGATGGTGATAATCCCATGGACTGGTGATGATGATAAATCCATAGACTGGTGATGATGATAATCCCATAGATTGGTGATGATGATGATAATCCCATAGACTGGTGATGATGATGATCCCATAGACTGGTGATGATGATGATGATAATCCCATAGACTGATGATGTTGATGATGATGATGATGGCGTTCATAGTCCCATGGACTGGTGATGATCCCATGGACTGGTGATGATGATGATCCCATGGAACTGGTGATGATGATAATGACGATGATCCCAAGAACTGGTGATGATGATGATGATCCCAAGAACTGGTGATGATGATGATTCTATAGACTGGTGATGATGATGATCCTATAGGACAGGTGATGATGATGATCCCATGACTGGTGATGATGATGATGATCCCATAGACTGGTGATGATGATCCCATGGACTGGTGATGATGATGATCCCATGGACTGGTGATGATGATGATCCCATGGACTGGTGATGATGATGATGATCCCATAGACTGGTGATGATGATGATGATCCCATAGACTGGTGATGATGATGATGATTCCCATAGACTGGTGATGATGGTGATGATGATCCCATAGACTGGTGATGGTGATGATGATGATTCCCATAGACTGGTGATGATGGTGATGATGATCCCATAGACTGGTGATGATGATGATGATGATCCCATAGACTGGTGATGATGAAGATGATGATCCCATAGACTGGTGATGATGATGATGATTCTATAGACTGGTGATGATGGTGATGATGGTGATGATGATCCCATAGACTGGTGGTGGCATGATGAGGATCATCATCATAGATTGGTGATGATGATGTTAATAATCCCATAGACTGGTGATGAGGGTTATCATCACCACCAGTCTATGGAATTATCATCATCCTCATCATCACCATCAAGTCATGGGATCACCAGTCATTATCATCATCATCCACCACCAGTCTATGGGATCATCCTCATCCTCACCAGTCTATGGGATCATCCTCATCCTCACCAGTCTATGGTATTATTATGTCCAGCCCTCCTGTAATACGTTGCTATCAGCACTGACCATTCATACTCTCTTAGCGCTCATTTCTCGCTGATTTATATTATTTATATCATAAGAACATTCGCCCAAAGAGAAGACACCTGAAGAACATTCAGTTCCCCCATCCTCAGTCGCTGGATTCCTCGTACAGAACGAATGTACATGCCGGACCACCAGACTGATAGTTCTGGAGATTCTTTTATAAATAAACCCCAAAGTGTCATCTCCAATACCGTACCCTGCAAGGTCTGCCTTATGTGGCCATCGGCAGCACGGGAGAGTTTCCCGGGTTTCCTTATGCGGCTCTCACTGGGTCCTGCTGGGGCCATCAGATCTCTGGAGTCCATCGACTTCTTCTACAGAATCAAACAAAGATTTATCATTCAGCGGAGATATGGAAAGGACGGGACCCGCTAATCTTCTACAATGAGAATCATCACTTTTAAAGGAAAATTACAGAACGCGTCCTCCAACCCCTCCCCCTCCATATATATACACTATATTGTCAAAAGTATTGGCCCCGCCCTCCATATCATTTGATTCAGGTGTTCCAATCCCTCCATATCATGTGATTCAGGTGTTCCAATCCCCTCCATATCATGTGATTCAGGTGTTCCAATCCCCTCCATGGCCACAGGTGTATACAATCAAGCCCCTAGGCATGCAGACATGGTATATATACGGGACGGATACGTATCCATACATCGTCCTCGGTATATACGTCTGCAGACATGGTATATATACAGGACAGATACGTATCCATACATCGTCCTCGGTATATAACTCTGCAGACATCGTATATATATACGGGACAGATACGTATCCATACATCGTCCTCGGTATACGTCTGCGGACATTGTATATATACGGGACAGATACGTATCCATACATCGTCCTCAGTATACGTCTGCAGACATCGTATATATACGGGACGGATACGTATCCATACATCGTCCTCGGTATACGTCTGCAGACATCGTATATATACGGGACAAATACGTATCCATACATCGTCCTCGGTATACGTCTGCAGACATCGTATATATACGGGACGGATACGTATCCATACATCGTCCTCGGTATACGTCTGCGGACATCGTATATATACGGGACAGATACGTATCCATACATCATCCTCGGTATACGTCTGCAGACATCGTATATATACGGGACAAATACGTATCCATACATCGTCCTCGGTATACGTCTGCAGACATGGTATATATACGGGACAGATACGTATCCATACATGGTCCTCGGTATACGTCTGCGGACATCGTATATATACGGACAGATACGTATCCATACATCGTCCTCGGTATACGTCTGCAGACATCGTATATATACGGGACAAATACGTATCCATACATCGTCCTCGGTATACGTCTGCAGACATGGTATATATATACAGGACAGATACGTATCCATACATCGTCCTCGGTATAAAAACGTCTGCAGACATCGTATATATACGGGACAGATACGTATCCATACATCGTCCTCGGTATACGTCTGCAGACATGGTATATATACGGGACGGATACGTATCCATACATCGTCCTCGGTATACGTCTGCTCTGCGACATCGTATATATACGGGACAGATACGTATCCATACATCGTCCTCGGTATACGTCTGCGGACATCGTATATATACAGGACAGATACGTATCCATACATCGTCCTCGGTATACGTCTGCAGACATGGTATATATACGGGACGGATACGTATCCATACATCGTCCTCGGTATACGTCTGCAGACATTATATATACGGGACGGATACGTATCCATACATCGTCCTCGGTATACGTCTGCAGACATGGTATATATATACGGGACAGATACGTATCCATACATCGTCCTCGGTATACGTCTGCAGACATGGTATATATACGGGACGGATACGTATCCATACATCGTCCTCGGTATACGTCTGCAGACATCGTATATATACGGGACAGATACGTATCCATACATCGTCCTCGGTATACGTCTGCAGACATGGTATATATACGGGACAGATACGTATCCATACATCGTCCTCGGTATACGTCTGCAGACATCGTATATATACGGGACAGATACGTATCCATACATGGTCCTCGGTATACGTCTGCAGACATCGTATATATACGGGACAGATACGTATCCATACATCGTCCTCGGTATACGTCTGCAGACATCATATATATATACGGGACAGATACGTATCCATACATCGTCCTCGGTATACGTCTGCAGACATCGTATATATACGGGACAGATACGTATCCATACATCGTCCTCGGTATACGTCTGCAGACATCGTATATATACGGGACAGATACGTATCCATACATCGTCCCTCGGTATATACGTCTGCAGACATCGTATATATACGGGACAGATACGTATCCATACATCGTCCTCGGTATACGTCTGCAGACATCGTATATATACGGGACAGATACGTATCCATACATCGTCCTCGGTATACGTCTGCAGACATCATATATATATACGGGACAGATACGTATCCATACATCGTCCTCGGTATACGTCTGCAGACATCGTATATATACGGGACGGATACGTATCCATACATCGTCCTCGGTATAACGTCTGCAGACATCGTATATATACAGGGACAGATACGTATCCATACATCGTCCTCGGTATACGTCTGCAGACATCGTATATATACGGGACAGATACGTATCCATACATCGTCCTCGGTATACGTCTGCAGACATGGTATATATATATACGGGACAGATACGTATCCATACATCGTCCTCGGTATACATCTGCAGACATTGCTCGGTGATATGTAGGAATTGATGTGTATGGACATGTCTGGTTGGACAGCTGTGTCTATAGAAGGTCTTCTGATGGACGGAATGTTCCTGGATGTGTAGAGCCCTCACACCGTACAATCCCTCCCGGGAACTCACCTCTCCTCCATCCTGGGACACCCTCCGCTCACCGTTAGATGGGGTCACCAGCAGCACAACGACAACGAGACCCCCCAAGATCAGCAGAGTCCTCATAACCGACCCGCAGCCCGATCCTCACTACAGCAAAGACGTTGTACAATGTGGGACCCCCGCCCTCCGTCTGCTTCATGGTGCTGATTGCACTTCTTATTTACCCCTTTTCCCCTCCCCCTCCCCTCTTCCTGGGACTGGCCGGCTGCGGGATCCAAACCCACAGATGAGCCAACATCCTTCCCTATTCTACCTTCACATTGTCTTGTCTTTTAGTATTTCATTGTTTTCTATGAATGTATTATTCCTGGTATTTCTATACGGGGCTCCCGCCTAGGTGGGCGCTATAGTTGTAGATCCATTTCTCAGTGGGATCGGTGGATCCGGGTTTGGTTCTTGCTGGCTGTTCTGCGTTCTGTAGTTGCACGCTCGCCTACGTTCTCTTGGATTCTAGTGAGATCTGGAACATAGTGGTCTGGAGGGGGCAGAGACCCCAAGCTGAATACATACAGCCTCAGCCAAGAGTGACCAGCAGGGGGCCCGAGGTGTGTATAAATACCCTGGAGCCTGGAGCAATAGGGGTCCTTGCCTTGGTGGAGAGAGACCCAGCCTGGACCCAGCCCCTCGCCATTCACTAAAGGGTTAACACTGAGAACAAATCCTTTATTGAAAGGATCCAGGATCTAGTTCCAGTGAAGGGTGAAGGGAACTCTTAAGGTGACATTTTGGACAATTTCAAGTTTCCAACTTTGTGGGAGGAGTTTGGGGGATGGCCCCTTCCTGTTCCAAAACATGACTGCGCACCAGTGCACAAAGCAAGGTCCATAAAGACATGGAGGAGCCAGTTTGGGGTGGAGGAACTTGACTGGCCTGCACAGAGTCCTGACCTCAACCCCATAGAACACCTTTGGGATGAATTAGAGCGGAGACTGCGAGCCAGGCCTCCTCCCCCAACATCAGTGCCCCTCCCCCGACATCAGTGCCTGACCTGACAAATGTGCTTCTTGAAGAATGGTCCAACCTTCCCATAGACACCCTCCTAAACCTTGTGGAACGGCCTTCCTAGAAGAGTTGAAGCTGTTATAGCTGCAAAGGGCGGGGCCAACTCAATATTGAACCCTACGGACTAAGACTGGGGGGCCATTAAAGGTCATGTGCGTGGAAAGGGTGGGGCCAACTCAATATTGAACCCTACGGACTAAGACTGGGGGGCCATTAAAGGTCATGTGTGTGGAAAGGCCCGGCCCAATATTGAACCCTACAGACTAAGACTGGGAGGCCATTAAAGGTCATGTGCATGGGAAGGGCGGGGCCAACTCAATATTGAACCCTACGGACTGAGACTGGGGGGCCATTAAAGGTCATGTGCTTGGGAAGGACGGGGCCAACTCAATATTGAACCCTACGGACTGAGACTGGGGGGCCATTAAAGGTCATGTGCTTGGGAAGGACGGGGCCAACTCAATATTGAACCCTACGGACTGAGACTGGGGGGCCATTGAAGGTCATGTGCGTGGAGAGGCCATCGGCCCAATACTTGGGGCAATATGGTGTATATATATTTTTTATACATTTGTATAGATTGGGGTTGTTCCTCTCCGTGACATTCTGGCTCCCCCAGTGGACCTGTGTAATCTGATGATCTTTGTAAGTGTGGAACATTTATAAGGGGGGAATATGACGTTTTATTTGCACCCTTATAGAAAACTAAACTAAAAATGAATAGAACTCATATTTCTAGGATTCTTCTTGCTGATATTCCTCCTATGTGGTGGTCCCCACCCCCCCCCCCACCCCCCCCCCCAGGGCTATCCCACACTCCTGGCCGGCTCTTTGGTGAGGTTCCCTCCATCTCGGTGACACCTCTCTGTGGTGGACCATTTGTGGAGTGGAGGTCTGGTTGTGGGCGGGGTTCTCACCTTTGTATATGATGTACTTACCGTAATGAACAGTATTTTATATCTCACACCTATTATTGTATTTTAGTTGGTATCCTGAATGCGTTCTTCCTGAAGAAGCCACGAGGAGAAAACATGTAGAAGAACATGCATAGAGGACCTCGCCAACATGTCTGTACCAACTGGAGAGGAAATCCATCCAAGCCGTCTCTGGGAAATGTTTCTCTGGCTTTAATATGGATTTGTAATGAATGTTACTGGTTTATAATGGTTTATGTTTGGTTTATGGTTGCAGCACCTTAAAAATAGTCGACAAATACGTTTACATTTCAAATTTTGTTGTGGATTTCATTTCCAAATTCTTTTTCGAATTTGAATAATTTGTTATTTCTTATGAAATTTTCGTTATTTTGGTTTCGCTTAAATTCGTTACTATTGAAGTTCAGAAATTCAGATACATCTGAATCTCCAAATAATGAAAATTTCCTCCGAATCTCGATTTGGAACCAAACACACCTCCCTGAAGCCTCCAAGAGAAGATCTAACCAATTGGTCTACAAGCCCAGCAGGGGGACGAGGTCTGGAGGCTCCCAAATGTCTTCCACCAATTCATTGATGTCAACGATCAGAGGAATCTATTTTATCTCTCATAAAAGCTCAAATATAATGAATATAATTCCTTCCTGGTACCATTATTGGGGTGCACAGTGGGGACCAGTCTTGGTGCAATCATAACTGACACGCTGGTGTTGAAGATCCTATCCTCGACCCAACCATCAGAACCATTCATGGCCCCTTTGACCCTATTCACATTGGAACACAGAACCGTCCTGTGGGCTGGGAAGGAGACACCTCCCCTCCCTGCCCCTCCCACAGGGTTGATTGGCCAAGGGCTAAAGTCCAGCCCACATCCATATCTCCATAAATTGAGGACCTGAGATCTGGACGGGGGATTCACATGGAGTTGGTTCGAAATTGTGGATGTTTCTGATGTGCTCCTGTTGTAGGATAATCCTCAGTAGAAGGTTTTATTTTAATCCCTTTTATCTCCATAGCCGCCTGTGTGTCCTTTTGTGTCTTTTGTATCTTTCGTCATTCTTTTTATAGTTGTGTGGAGGCCATAGTGTGTGGTGGCCCAGCAGACCAGTCTGCAGACAAACTGTTGGTTGGTGTCAAGCTACCATTTGTTGTGCGTCTGGTGTGGGGGGGGTGTGTTGGGGGAGGGGTGTGTCTGGTGTGGGGGAGGGGTGTGGACAGTGGAAGAGTGATGAACACCAGGGTTCTAGCTGGTAGGATAGCTGGAGGATCCCGAGAAGGGTGTGCCAATTGCTAGACTGCTCCCCAATCCAGAGTGCACCAGATTGTATATAAGATTCGTAACCTCTCCAAAACCGAGCTCCTAGTCTTCCCCCCCCAGCCCCCGGACCCCACCCCCCACTGACTTCTCCATCAAGTCCAACAACGCCACCATCAAACCCGCCCCGCAGGCCAAAGTACTTGGTGTCATTCTGGACTCCAACCTATCCTTCCAGCCCCAAGTCCAATCACTAACTAACTCATGCAGACTCCACCTACGCAACATGCAGACTCCACCTCCGCAACATGCAGACTCCACCTCCGCAACATGCAGACTCCACCTCCGCAACATGCAGACTCCACCTCCGCAACATGCAGACTCTGCCTCCGCAACATGCAGACTCCACCTCCGCAACATGCAGACTCCACCTCCGCAACATGCAGACTCCGCCTCCGCAACATGCAGACTCCGCCTCCGCAACATGCAGACTCTGCCTCCGCAACATGCAGACTCTGCCTCCGCAACATACAGACTCCACCTCCGCAACATGCAGACTCCGCCTCCGCAACATCGCCAAAATCCGCACGTTCCTAACCCCAGAAACCACTAAACAGCTCATCCACTCCCTCATCATATCACGACTCGACTACTGCAACTCCCTCCTCACTGGCCTGCCTCACCGCTGGCTATCCCCGCTTCAGTCCATCCTGAATACGGCTGCCAGACTCATTCACCTTTCCAACCGCTCCATCTCCGCCACCCCCCTCTGCCAATCCCTCCACTGGCCTCCACCCCCCTCTGCCAATCCCTCCACTGGCCTCCACCCCCCTCTGCCAATCCCTCCACTGGCCTCCACCCCCCTCTGCCAATCCCTCCACTGGCCTCCATTCAGTGTCCTCCACCCCTCTCTGCCAATCCCTCCACTGGCCTCCACTCAGTGTCCTCCACCCCTCTCTGCCAATCCCTCCACTGGCCTCCACTCAGTGTCCTCCACCCCCCTCTGCCAATCCCTCCACTGGCCTCCACTCAGTGTCCTCCACCCCCCTCTGCCAATCCCTCCACTGGCCTCCACTCAGTGTCCTCCACCCACCTCTGCCAATCCCTCCACTGGCCTCCACTCAGTGTCCTCCACCCCTCTCTGCCAATCCCTCCACTGGCCTCCACTCAGTGTCCTCCACCCCCCTCTGCCAATCCCTCCACTGGCCTCCATTCAGTGTCCTCCACCCCCCCCTCTGCCAATCCCTCCACTGGCCTCCATTCAGTGTCCGCCACCCCCCTCTGCCAATCCCTCCACTGGCCTCCATTCAGTGTCCTCCACCCCCCTCTGCCAATCCCTCCACTGGCCTCCACTCAGTGTCCTCCACCCCCCTCTGCCAATCCCTCCACTGGCCTCCACTCAGTGTCCTCCACCCCCCTCTGCCAATTATGCAATCCCTCCGCTGGCCTCCACCCCCCTCTGCCAATCCCTCCACTCTCAGTGTCCTCCACCCCCCTCTGCCAATCCCTCCACTGGCTTCCGATTGCCCAACAGATCAAATTCAAAATCCTAACACTGACGTACAAAGCCGTCCACCATACTGCCCCGAACTACATCACTGACCTAATATCCAAGTACCGCCCAACACGCACACTCCGCTCCTCACATGACCTCCTTCTCTCTAGTTCCCTGGTCTCCTCCTCCCATGCCCGCCTCCAGGACTTCTCCAGGGTGTCACCCATCCTCTGGAACTCCCTACCCCAATCCATCAAACTATCACCTACTCTCCCTCTCCTTTAGGTGCACCCTGAAAACCCATCTCTTCAGGGAAGCCTACCCCACCCCCTGCTAACTGCCAACCTCCTCCACTCTTCCTACCACTCCATCCCTTACAGCTATCTCCTCCTGTGCCACCATCCCCTCCTCCTAGATTGTAAGCTCCCAGGATCAGGGCCCTCGATCCCCTCATGTTTTGCATTGTATTGGTATTGTTCTGTCACATGTTCTGTCCCCCTTTGCAATGTACAGCGCTGAGCCAACTATCGGCGCTTTATAAATACTGTATAATAATAATAATCTTTGACATCAATGAATTAGTGGAAGACATTTAGGAGCCTCCAGACCTCGTCCCCCTGCTGGGCTTGTAGACCAATTGGTTAGATCTTCTCCTGGAGGCTTCAGGGAGGTGACAACTCTATATCTACAAGGATGGGGGAGTATTGTTGGCACCTGGGTGTGACTTCTGGTATTGATTAGAGGTGTGCGGTGTGTTTGGTTCCAGATAGAAATTCATTATTTGGTGATTCGGATGGATGTGATCGTCAGCTCCATCTAGTGGCCATATTGCTGTATTTTCCTGAAATACTCCAATCAGGTAAATAGCGCATTATGGCCACTAGATGGAGCAAATGTATTTATTTATTACAGGTACTTATATAGCGCAGTCAATGTACTCAGCGCATTACATATATATTGTACGTTCCCATCAGTCCCCACCCCTGAGGAGCGTATAATCTAAGGTCCCTAACTCACATTCATACATACTAGGGCCAATATAGACAGGACCCAATTCACCTACCACCATGTCTTTGGAGTGTGGGAGGAAACCAGAGTACCAAGAGGAAACCCACGCAGGCACAGGGAGAACATGCAAACTCCAGGCAGGTGTTGCCATGGTTGGGAATCAAACCGACAACCTGAGTACTGCCAGGTGGAAGTGCTAACCACTCAGCCACTGCAAATGACAGGGAGTGATTGGTGACGGCGGTGGAGACAATGGCACAGAGAATGTTTTCTCTATAAATAGACCCTCATATCTGGGTGGATGATTGTCCCACCAATAGCAGGAGATGCCCCTCCCCCCCCATGTGAGGATCTGTCACCTTCCTTCCATGGTGTCCCCCGTGCTATCATTTCCTTCTCTTTGTACCATCAGCGTGGAAACATTTCACCTTCCTGCCCAATAACCTCCTGAACTCCGGGCAGATAGAAGACACAACCAATGCCGCGCTCTGCTCACCAATCACACATTTTTATTGGGCAATAAAAGAAATGTTAGTAAAGCGATACAAGTCAGCGCGTCGTTTTCCGGATGTCGGTCCCTGAAGAGCTGTGCAGACCTATGAAGAGCGATGAGGATCAAAGCGGCCTGGAGAGGGCGGAGTCACGGCTTCAATGCCTGGAAGGGAAGGAAGAAGAAGAAGGAGGTTACCTATAGCGGACCTTCCAACCAATGGAAGTGATTTTGCACCTGGCTCCTCCCCCCTTCCTCCTACACAATTATATTTAACCCCTCCCCCTCTCACCCTCCAGGGATCGGAGCGATTTGTACGTTTCTGCTATGGACCTGTTTATGTGGGGACAAGGGTGTCATTACTGAAGATAACAAGGTAACGCATGTATTGTTGTTTAACCAGCTGCAGACTCTGGGCGTGCTACACACGTCCACAAATATGTCATCATTGTACACAGGGAATGTGTAGCACGTCCAGTCCTTCTGCCCTGCGGCCAGGACCGCCCCCCTCCCCCATCCCAGTACTCAGCAATTCAGCTCTGACTAATCACAGCGGCACTCAGGGTCGGATCTACCCTATCTGATCTGGGGGGGCAGTAAAAAAAGTTAGGGCTCATAATGTGTCATGTCACATGGTGTCATGACCCAGGAAACACTATTATGTATTAGGCTGTTTGTTAGATTTAGGTGATCAAAAAGAACCTGTACCCCCTTATATCAGGAGTCCTCATCACAGTCCCCCTTTATATAAAGATCCCATCAGAGCGCCCCTTTACATCACATGTCCCCATCACAATCCCCCATATATCAGAGTCCATCTTAGGATCCCCCCTCCCCATCTGAACCCACCTTACATCCTGGTCCCTGTCTGAGACCCCCTTACTTCCAGGTTCCCATCAGAGTGCCCCTTACATTAGGTGTCCCCATCAGAGTGCCCCTTACATCAGGTGTCCCCATCAGAGTGCCCCTTACATCAGGCATTCCCATCAGAGTGCCCCCTTACATCAGGCATTCCCATCAGAGTGCCCCCTTACATCAGGCATTCCCATCAGAGTGCCCCCTTACATCAGGTGTCCCCATCAGAGTGCCCCTTACATCAGGCATTCCCATCAGAGTGCCCCTTACATCAGGCATTCCCATCAGAGTGCCCCCATACATCAGGTGTCCCCATCAGAGTGCCCCCCTTACATGAGATGTCCCCATCAGAGTGCCCCCCTTACATCAGGTGTCCCCATCAGAGTGCCCCCCTTACATCAGGTGCCCCCATCAGAGTGCCCCCTTACATCAGCTCTCTGCATCAGACTGGCTCATGGATCAGTGGATAAGGAGCTCTCAGAGAACTTGGGAGGGGCACAGCTAAATCTCGGGGGCACAGCCGACCCCAGCACCCCCCTAGATCTGGCCCTGGTGGCACTGCCCAGTACACAGAACATTCTGCCAGCTGACACAGTCAAAAAAAAATCAGCCTGACACTAATTATCACCAATACAGAAAGGTACAAAGTAACATTGTTTCATTTTGTATCTTTCTGTTTATTCATCTGCAGATCAAAGGGATGAAACTTCCGTCTGCTGATGAAGTCGGTTTAAAGCGACCCGACAAGTAAAAAAAAGTTGTTTTTACTTCAATGTTCCTCTGTTATCCCCTTGTTAACCCTTCGTTTCCTCTAATCAGCCCTAATTAACTCCGTATTCTCCTCCTCCATTCACTGATTATTTTCCTGCTGATTTTTCTCTCTTTTTTTGTTTGTCTCTATCCTACTAACTAATAATATTTAAACGTCTTTTTATATATTTACAAGTTTCACATTTAAAAAGCGCAAAGTTGTAAATGTAAATGTTTGTAAACTCACATCGATCAAACACAGAAACAGCGCGTTTTGTTACATTTACTGGTTTACTGGGAAAAAAAACTCATCCGGAAAACAATAGCTGAGGAGAGAAGGAGACGAAGGAGATAATTTGGGCTGATTGGGGTCACTAAGGGTTAATAAGGGATAAACACAGGAACAGTTTTTGTAAAAAAAAAACTAAAAAAATTGTCCGGTTGCTTTTACTGACATCCTTTGCAGATCTAAGTTCATCCCATTGATCTGCAGATGAATGAACAGAAAGATACAAAAGTAACAATAGGTAAACATTGTATCTTTGTATATTCTCAGTCTGGTGCTGTGTTGTTTATAGGCACAGAGTCAGACCGGCCGGCCACGCCTTCTCTGAGTATACAGGGGTACCTGCCGACTGCCTACCTGGAAATGTACGTCAGGATATAGTAGTGGCTGTCAGGGACCATCGCGACGCATGGGTCTACACATGCGTAGGTGTCTGTCAAGACATGTAGGCAGCAGGGCACTAGGACCCAGGCGCACCCGTCGTCTATGACAGTGCTGGGCAGGCACTAGGGCCTAGGCTGTGCCTGTCAGGTGCAGGGTGGGCTACTTAAACCAGCCCTGAACAGACACTTGTTGCCGAATGGTCTTTGCGTATCCTGTTGCCTGTGTAGTGAGTACTCTGATCTGGATTGGCTGACCTTGTTGCCTTCTCCTGTCCTCACCCCTTGGCTTGCCTGACTCTGCTCCTGGATGTTCCCTTATTAGATCTGACCTCCTGGTATTGACCCTGCGTGTGACCCGACTATCCCTTGCCTACCGTCTTGTACCGCACCGACCCGCTAGTTACCCGACACGGCCTGTTTGACTCTGATCTTGCTCATCCATCCCTCAGGGATCCCCGGGCTCCCTCACATCAGACTCTTAACCCACAGGAGCCTCTGGCAGACTCCTCTACCTCTGGTAGAGATACCCGGTAGCTGCGACCTGGTCCCGGAGCGC